GCTATCCTCAAAAGAAAAAACATTCTACGTCATCAGTCTTCACACCACCCTTCCATCTTCAAATATTATAATTTTCCTTATTGTTCAACAAACGATTTCGGTTGCTCTCAAAATTTACACCAGATATTATTTCTGCATTCATTTCATTTCAGTTAATCGAAATAATAATGGAAATCGCCTCTAAATGTAACACTTCAAAAACTCATTTAAAATGATGAAAATGATCAATTGCATAGTAGTAAAACAGTAACAAAAGAAATGAATGGTAACATTATCAAACAGTAAGCTGATTGAGGATAACGTATGTGCTCAGTTTCAACAGTCAAATGTTGAAAAAGATTATCATTCACCTATAATTTGTTTACTTGATGTTTGTTCAATTGATTCTATTTGATAATGCTGTTTACAACCAGTGTGATATGATAAAGTGCTGATAAGCTGCCTACAGATCATCGTTCTATCAAAATTTTTTCTTATCTTTTAATGTCTCGTTGATGCTAAACATTTGCCGTGTTGTTTGCACTAATCAGTTAATTCGAGACAATTGTGAAACTTATTAATTGTCATCATTTTGTCAGCATTGTGACGTTTTTTCACTTAGTGGTGAATTTTATTTTTGAGTGAAAACTGCGTTTTTTCGAGTTCAAATTCGTTGAAGTGCGTCTCAAGCTTGATGAGTATGCATTGAAAATTAGTGAGTATTGAAGAGTACATCATTGAAGGGACGGACAATCGCAATGTCTTTACTGGGCCATGTGAGACAAGGACTTGCGAAAGCTCTTCAAATCGCAACCGATAATCAAGCATTCAGCGAAATACCTGAGTGCTCAATGCTATCAACCGTCGACAAACTATCCATCAAGGTGGCCGATCAATTCGATGTGTACGTTACTGATCAGTTGCCTTCCTTCTGAGATGCCTTTTCTCCGGGAAGTTGAAAATTCATAGAGTTTAGTGCTTGCTTGACGTGATCAATTGCGCATTCGCTCATTGATCAAGTTGGATGAACATAAAAGAATATCTTTTATTCCTCGGTTTTAACGATCACTGTGATCACAGAAAATCTGTTTAACCAAAATTTCTGCGATCAGCTCCTAGCAGTTTCAGTTATCTTCAGTTTGATTGTACGCTTCAAAAGTTGAGTGTAATCAGTCGACAAAATGTTGGAATTAACTTGAAGTTTGTCTCAACTTCCGAGCTCATGCGTGTATTCGATATTTCAGACTTCATGCTACAGAGAATTATTTTCGAAGTGGGAATGCGAATTTTATCGTAAAGTTTCTTGTAAGAAACGAGAAGAAGAATAAGAACATTGTGATGACTGCTGACCTCACGGCAGGTTTGCTTTTTCCATTCGTTACTAGTTAACGGATGAACTCTTGAGACCGAATCCTCACTGATTTATTCGAAGAAATGAAATCATAATCAGTCCTGCTGAGTTAGGTCCTTCTGAATTTCTGGCAATTATCACCATCAGACTCATTTCCAAGAATGCCTTCCATGGGTCACTGGGGGCATTTTCACTCGATATTGAATCAGTCCAAGATTATAGCAACAATTTCTAGGGAATTTTTAACAATCGGTCTGATTTAAGGTCAAGGTTTCATCGTGCATAATATGTCTGGCACTCATATTATGGACGTGAAACTTCCGAACAAAGCTGGCGATACACTCGGCAAAATTGTACATCCTACACAAGTCACACTATTCAAGGTATTTCAGATTCCGAAAGTCCGAAAGAAATATTCATCCGGATTCCAGATTCCAAAGGAATACTTTGAGTTGTATTAAAACTCTTTTGTAAAACTGATTAAGACTTGCAGCTGACAGCTAACAGAGTTCCACAAACAATCGCCAGTCCAAATCGCTCAGCTGTAATCATGTTAACCATCCTGAACTGATACTTTCCTCCGGAATACCCATGGAAAATTCCGTAAATAGTATCGGTGAAAAGTTCGAAACTGTAGGCTTGAAGTAAACAGTTGTTACTGTTTAGTATTTGGCGAACTGTGGTCATCGGGTATGACTTCAGGTTCTGATCGCTAATAAGGCAGCACATGGTGGCAATTATCAGGTCTTCAAGGCGGGTACCGATGATCCAATCATCATGGTTGAAAAAGTACGTTTATCCGATATCTATTGCGTTGATCACTTCACGCATTTAACGCCGAAGTTTTCGCTCTGTATTAGGACTTTTGACATATATTTTCCTTTTTGTATATTTTTGACATATAAATTTTATCTTATTCTATCGGCCGTCTGCAACTACAACCAAAGCAAACATCTTGATTTTTCCAAAAATTCATTTCGGTTGACTGTATAAGCTGATGTGAGATAACAGCTCATTTATGAACATCCTCATGGTAATTTTCACCGATTCCATGTCATATTGTCAAAAACCACCTGTCCGACTCAATCGAACACTCTCAATCAAATCAAAACCTCTGTAAATTACTGTTTATTTTCCTTTAAGGTATCGTTATCGTTGTATCCAGTTGCAAAAATGGTTGGACTGTTGGAATGTGAATGCGTTTATTGGTTTAGAAGGCCCGATCGAACGATTTTAGGCTATGTTAGGCCGAAAGTTGTACTCAACGGTAGGACAGTGATCATCAAGTTCAGGTGAACTCTTCACTCATCATCTCAAAACCATGAATTTCTCTGATCAAAGTGACTGTCGATTTACTATTCATTTTTTACTTCATAAATTTTTACAGTGGTTTCTTCAAAATGAGTGCAACTTTTCAGCGCCACACAAACCGATTCACAGTTAAGAGCCGCAATGTTGGGCACAACTTTGTTGATCATTCTCGATGAGGTTTATCCAGAGCTGAAACGGCTCCTCGAGGCAAGCATTGAAGAGACGAAATTC